ATGATGGATGGATGGATGATGGATGAATGGATGGATGGATGGATGGATGCTCCCTGAATCCTTGTGCTGATCCCAGAGATGGCTCTGGAGCCTGCTGTGTTATTCCCTGCTGTGTTATTCCCTGCTGGATCATTTCCTGCTGTGTTATTTCCTTGGAAAGCTCTGCAGAAGGGGTTTGCACCTTGCACTGGGGGCTGAGCTGAGCACAGCAGCCTCCAACCCATCCACAGGAATATTTGGGAATATTGCTCCATGGGAAATGTGAGAAGCATTGCACTTCCCCTTGCTTGGGTTCCTCTCAGCAGGACTCACCTAAATTCCCGTTTTTTGCTCACTGATACCCTTCCCCTTGGAACTGGGTGATTAAAATCCCTTCCACTCTGAACATTCCATGATTCTCTTGGATGAACCAAACCTTTGAGTGCTGATGTCAAACACCCTGGGGATCCCAGTGCTGCCTCTTTCCTTGGAAAAACGTGAATCCAGCTTTTATTACTTCACCAGGCAGTGCCTATTGCTGGTGTGGTGCTTTTCCCTATTTCTGACTCCTGTCCTGGGGACAGGAGGGTTTGGAATGTGCAGGAACCCATACTCAGCCTCCTTTTCCTCCACATACAGGGAATTTTCAGCTCTGGAGAATCAGGGAATAGCAATTCCTGGCTGCCAGGGGTTGTGTTTTCTCTCCATGGGCATGGATGGGGCAGGGAGGGGGCCTGGGTTCCTTCTTTTGCTCCCAGCGTTCTCTCAGATCGTGGTTTTTCACGGGGAAAAAGAACTCAAGAAAGGAAAATCCACCTGAACATTTTTTTCCAAACAGTTCCGGCAGAACATCCTGGTTAGGCAATATTTGAGGGATTTGTTTTCTTAGATGGCAGCTCATGAGGCTGCTCCATGTCTTTGCAAGGATCTGAGCTGCTTCCTCCTGGAGGAATTAAATTCTTCAGGAACTGTCAGCTATGGGATAGCTTGGCTGCCTCTTCCAGCCACCAATGCTCTGGAAAAATACACCAGGGGCTGGGAAAATCTGGGAATGGGGGCCATGGGGAGGGAGGGGTGGTGTGAGTCTGTCCAGTTGAGAGGCAGGAGAGCCACAGGACTGGCTCCATGGGAATGGCTCCATGGGAATGGCTCCATGGAAATGGCCCCATGGGAATGGTCTCATGGGAATGGTTCCACAGGGATGGCTCCATGGGAATGCCTCCTTGGCAATGGCTCCATGGGAATGGCTCCATGGAAATGGCTCCATGGGAATGGCTCCATGGGAATGGCTGCATGGGAATGGCTCCATGAGAATGGCTCCATGGGAATGGTTCCTTGGAAATGGCTCCATGGGAATGGCTCTATGGAAATGGTCCCATGGAAATGGCTCCATGGAAATGGCTCCATGGAAATGGCTTCAAGGAAATGCCTCCATGGGAATGGCTTCATGGAAATGACTCCATGGAAATGGCTTCATGGAAATGCCTCCATGGGAATGGCTCCATGGAAATGGTCCCATGGGAATGGCTCCATGGGAATGGTTCCTTGGGAATGGTTCCTTGGGAATGGTTCCTTGGGAATGGCTCCATGGGAATGGCTCAATGGCAGTGGTTCCACGGGAATGGTTCCACAGAAATGGCTCCATGGCAATAGCTCCATGGAAATGGTCCCATGGAAATGGTCTCATGGGAATGGCTCCACATGAATGGCTCCATGGCAATGGTTCCAGAGGAATGGCTCCTTGGAAATGGCTCCATGGCAATGGCTCCATGGGAATGGCTCCATGGGAATGGCTCTATGGGAATGGTCCCATGGCAATGGCTTCATGGGAATGGTTCCATGGGAATGATTCCAGAGGAATGGCTCCATGGCAATGGCTCCATGGGAATGGTTCCACAGGGATGGCTCCATGGCAATGGCTCCATGGCATGGAGGGGTGTTGGTGTGTTGGTGGCAGTGTCCCACAGCCCACACATCCATGAGATCAGTGTGGGGTGGGAGTTGTCCTCTCTGTCCATTGAGGAATTCTGGGACACTTCAGTGTTTCCCTGGAAATGCCCAGAACGTGAAGGAGGTCAGGAGTATGTGTGAGGCTGGAATGATCCACAGCTGGGGAAAAGGGAGAGGAAGGGAAACCAGGATTGCCAGGGGAACCCACAGGAGATTCCAGGGGAGCTGAAGGACTCTGCAGGTGCTGCAGAGTTTGGGCTGCTCCTCTGAAATAAAAATTTCTCTGGGCTCCACATTGATCTCCAACACAGCCTCGGCCTAAAGCAAACCCTAAGAGAGCCTAAATTCCTTCCTGAGCTGTTGACCCAGAATTCCAAATTCCTTGATGGGAAAGGCAGAGAAAGCAATGCAAGACTGAGGGACCCTTCCCTGCCCCACAGCTGCTTCCCAATATTCCCAGGACCCACCAATTCTGTAGTAATTGTTGTCCAGGTCTTTGCAGAAGCCCTTCCCATTGGCCACCTCCAGGGAATACTCGATCAGCAGCAGGATGCTCATGACCTGGAGAACAAAGCAAAAAACACAATTCAGGGACCTTGGACCCAATTCCCAGCAGTCAATTTATTTCCAGGGAATGCTGGATGGATGCGTCTCCAAGTGAGCCGAACACAAAGCGTTTAAATCCCAGGAAATTCTGAGACAACAGCTATTAGTTTATTAATATTTTGGATATAACTGCCAGCAGAAGGAAGATGGAGAAATGACAAAGGCAGCGAGTTTTGTTTCAATGGTTTTTATCCTGGTTTCATGTTTTGAAATTGCCTTTTGCTCCAGAGTCTAGGAAAATGCAATACCAGTATTCCAAAGAGTAAAAAGAAACACAAAAAAGATGAAAGATCTCCCTGTAAGAGCAGCTGTGCCACTCCATTGACAAAACCATCATTTTCTTTCCCTTATTTGAGGAAAATCTCAAAATGTTCTTTTTCACATTGAACTGGAATGATTTTCCCCAGGTTTTCCAAGTGGACCATCAAACCTCAAGCCTCCAGGTCTCATTCTGTCTGGACCTTAATGAGCTGGGAGATGGAGGGAGGTCCAGAGCTGCAGGCTCAGTCCTGGCCCTGAACTTCTGCACTCACCCAGGGATGTCTGCATCCAGCTTAGGAGATTGCCATGGAATCAGGGAATCCCAGAAAGGATGGAACATGCTGGGTCATTCCCTGCTGGGTCATTCCCTGCTGCCGTCCTGGGAAATCTCTGCAGGAAGGGGTTTGCACCCTGCACTGGGGGCTGAGCTGAGCAGAGCAGCCTCCAACCCATCCACGGGAAATATTTGGGAATATTGCTCCATGGGAAATGTGGGAACCATTGCCCACATTTGGAAGGGATTTGCCCATGGGTAGGAAGGGATTGGAAAGCTCATCCCATCCCACTCCTGCCATGTGCAGGGACACCTCCCATTGTCCCAGGCTGCTCCAAGCCCCAAAGTCCAACCTGGCCTTGGGCACTGCCAGGGATTCAGGGGCAGCCACAGCTGCTCTGTCCATCCCTGAGGGTGTCCCTGGCTGTCCCTGTCATCCCTGAGGATGTCCCTGTCTGTCCCTGTGTGTCCCTGTTTGTCCCTGTCCATCCCTGAGGATGTCCCTGCGTGTCCCTGTCCGTCCTTGCCTGTCCCCATGTCCCCCTGTCTGTCCCTGGCTATCCCTGGCTGTCCCTGGCTGTCCCTGTCCATCCCTGAGGATGTCCCTGTCTGTCCCTGTGTGTCTCTGTGTGTCCCTGTCCATCCCTGAGGGTGTCCCTGTCCATCACTGAGGATGTCCCTGCGTGTCCCTGTCTGTCCCTGCCTGTCCCCATGTCCCCCTGTCTGTCCCTGGCTGTCCCTGGCTGTCCCTGTCCATCCCTGAGGATGTCCCTGTCTATCCCTGTCCGTCCCTGTGTGTCCCTGTCTGTCCCTGTCCATCCCTGTGTGTCCCTGTCCATCCCTGAGGATGTCCCTGTCCATCCCTGTCCATCCCTGTCTGTCCCTGTGTGTCCCTGTCTGTCCCTGTCCATCCCTGTCCATCCCTGTCTGTCCCTGTCTGTCCCTGTCCATCCCTGTCCATTCCTGTCCATCCCTGTCTGTCCCTGTGTGTCCCTGTCCATCCCTGAGGATGTCCCTGGCTGTCCCTGTCTATTCCTGAGGGTGTCCCTGTCCGTCCCTGTCTGTCCCTGTCCATCCCTGTCCGTCCCTGTGTGCAGGAGGGCAGAGCAGCCCCAGCTCTGCTCCAGGCCCAGCTCTGCCCCAGAGCCCCGGGCAGGGGCTGAGCCCAGGAGCTGCCCTGGGCAGTGCCAGCCCTGAGCAGAGCCCAGAGAGGGGCTGGAGTCTCCTCCCGGGGACATTCCAGAGCCACAGGGACACCCTGCTGTGCCCTGAGCTCTGGGATGGCCCTGCAGGAGCAGGGAGTGGCACCAGTGTCCCTGGGGTCCCTCCAGCTGCCCCTCTCCGTGACCCTGAGCCCTCTGGCCCTATCTGCCCCCCACATCAGCACCTGCTCAGGCAGAGCTGAAGCAACTTTTCCACCAGAGCTGCACCAACCTTTCACCTCAACCACAGCCCGAGCAGCGCCGCGGGCGAGGAGGAAGTGGCACTGCTGTGGTCTGGGCTTGCGTTTGCAAACTGGGGCTGCTGGAACAGCCCAGAGCCAGCTGCTGCACGGGCTGGGGCTGGGCAGAGGGTGGGTCTGGGTTTTCAGAGGGATCCAGACACGCTTTGGGCAGCGGGGATGCCCAGCCAGGGGAGCTGTGCTGCCCTTGCAAAGGAGCTATGGGAGGGAAGGCTCTGCCCTGTCCCAGAAAGGGGGAAGCGAGGCTGGGAGGTGACAGGAGCTGAGCACAGCCCCTCCCTCTGCCTCTGTGTCAGCCGCAGAAGACCTAGAAATAATTTCAAACCAAATTCACCAACTTTCTGAGCCCCCAGCTGCAGCATCCGCAACTGTGGCGCTCCCAGCCACGCTGGGCTGTGAGGGGGCTGCGAGCCCCGGCCCACCCCGTCCCTCTGAATTTAAAATTCTGTCCGGAGTCTGAGTGAGAAGGAAGGATGTATCAGGTTTTCCCTGGGCCTGTCTGATACCAGCTTGTTCAAGAGTCACTCTGCTGTCTTCCCTTTTTTTTCAATTAAGTAAATGAACTTTGCAATTTGCTCATGAGCTGGCAAGAAAAAGAGGAATATCCAGATCTCATTACACGAGGACACGACAAAGTTAACACGAGTTCAGCTTAATGGAACAGTATTTCAGCTCCCAGGGCAGCTCTGAACCCTGTCAAGGATGAAATTGCATCGATCTAAAGTGTCTTTACAGCTGCTGGCACCCCTTGGGAGGAGAGGGATCTCTTAATGAAGACGCATGGAGATCACACCTGACTGCAAGGTGGCTGAGAGGTTTCATGTTCAGGCTCCCAAACACTTTTTGCTGCCTTTATTTCTGCTGTTGGTCCAACCCCTCAATTGCCAGCTTGGGAAATACGGGCAGAAATTGATCTTTCAGGTTCCACTTAAAAGGAGGCCTGAGCAAAATGGATAAGCTGGGCCCTAAATATCAGTTTTATTCTGAAAGAGGAGTGGGTGAGAGCAGGACAGCAAACCCCAAACTCCCCCATCCCATCCAGCAGATCCAGAGGCTGAAGCTGAGCGTGAGGAACCCTCTCTGATGTCTGCAGAGAAAAACGAGGCCCTGGTTTCCTTGCTGGTGAGGAAATGAGCCACACAACCCAGACCAAGTGCAGTCACACAAGATAAGGACATGGCAGGAAACCCCAGCCCAGCCTCAGAGACTCGGGAGACTTTTAAGGCAGAAGTTGGTTTAAAGTTTTCCATCTTGTGTAGAAAGAAAGAAGCACTGAGCTGTGAGCCGCCAGCAGAGACCTCCAGGCCTTTCCCTTGGCATGGAGAGCCAGGCCAGCACAGGACACCCTCCAGCAGCTGGCTTTGGCACGCTGGGGAGCCTTCCTTATTCCTGCAGGGCATGCACATCCAAGGGGACAAACCCTCTGCAGAGGGGCCTTTTGGGAGGAAGAAATAGGAGGATGGATGTGGTGCCTGCCCTGCACTCCTTGCTCAGCTACTCCCTCTGCAGATCCACCCTCAGCTCCCACAGAAACCAAAACCTCATTTCACACAGAAAAATACCCAGTTCCCTTAAATCAGAGGATTTCACTTCCAGGTACTCAACTCCCCTGATCTCTGATCCCTGATCTCGTGGAGCTGGAACTTCTGGAGTAATCCCCATCTTCTTGCTGCCTGTCTGCAAAGGAAACTTCACAGTTCTTGGTAGAAGAAATCTGAATCCCCAGAAATGGACGGCTGGAGCTGGGCCAGGGCAGGGCAGGCTGGAGCTCAGGGAAAGGTTCTTCCCCCAGAGGTGCTGGCACTGCCCAGGCTGCCCAGGGAATGGGCACGGCCCCGAGGCTGCCAGAGCCCCAGGGATGCCCAGGGTGGGGCTGGTGGGGGTCTGGGCAGGGCCAGGGGCTGGACCTGAGAATCCTTGTGGATCCCTTCCAGCTCGAGACATTCCAGGATTCCATGATACAGAATATTATGAAATAATGTAGGACTGAGATAAATCCAGTCATTAAATCAAGGGAGATAAATTAGAGTGACTTGAAGGCAGAATCTGACACACAGAGCCCCCATTCCCTGGGGACAATCCTGCTGCAGCTGCAGAGGGGTTAAACTGCTCTTAGAGGCCATGTTTGGTTTGTTGTTTTTTTCCCTGAAATATTTGCAGCTTGACTGATCTCCAGGTGATTTATCTTTTTGCACGTGGCCCTGCTCCTCTTCTGTTTCACAGCAGGGGTTTCTGCAAGAGGATCTTGAAACCGTGGGGAACAGGAGCCACTGGGGACAGGGACAAGGGACAGGGGACAGGGACAGGGACAGGGATGGGGACGGGGACAGGGACAGGGATGGGGACAGGGACAGGGACAGGGACAGGGACAGGGGACAGGGACAGGGGACAGGGACAGGGACAGGGACAGGGA